CAAACCTGGAAATGTGGAGTTTTGTTCCGCCACTACCAAGAAAACTCCTGCCTCCCTGACCTTTTAACAGCCAACACACATGCGTCGACCAAAACAATCTTGTGTGAACAGTCCTCAATTAGGTGAAAACGAAAAAAAAGATATTTAAGTAATATCACGTTAGCAGTGTCAATTTTCTGTAAACAATTGCAAATGCCGTGTCAAATTAGCAAGTCCAATTCTTCTAAAAGTAAATTACATTCGCCCATGCAAATACTCGAGTAAACAAGACAAAATAAGCGTAATAACGGTTAAAAACTCTCTTTACGTACAATCAGTGGCCGATCTGATTAAATATTAATGTAAATTCTGAAATGCATTTTCAACTAAGAAAGAACATTTGCTGGAGCTGTAATATCGATCAGCTTGCGTCACAGTCCCATGACATTTCATATAGGTCAGGCTGCGCTCCTTTCTGTCCAACCACAAAAGCCACATTAAACATGACTTTTAAGAAGTATACACTTTCTATATTACCCTTCGATGCCTTAATAAATTCAAACACAGTTTTTAGAAACCATGCACACTTGGTATCCTTTATTGTACTCATTTGATAGCCAATCACGCCCTTAACTTTTATATTTGAGGACTATCTTTCGGTTTTAAAGTTTAGAATTACGATACCTTTGAGACCGTAAAATGTCCATTCAGATCGCAACTTATCTGCGAATTTACCGATCTCCATAAACGTAGTTCACGCTCATTGCAAGCCTTTATGAACACTGTATGATATCTTTATGGCATAAAGGAATGTATGGTGTTCCTTGCATGGAAATCATGCATCTTATAGACTAATAACCCTAGACGCAAATGTAAAGGTAGATTGAACTTCAAATACTTCGACAATCGGGCAACTTTAAAAAAACTTAAATATACACTTCTATCGAGTATAAAATCTGGAGAGAACATGGTTTGCAACCAAACGAGTACACGACTCTACGTTTTCCTCAAACATGTGTGCATTAACAAGGACAGTGGGAACTAATAAAAATTGCATACTACTTAAATATTAGTTATTAG